GACATCCCCTAAAGAACCATGATGAAAACGAGTGAGAGTTTGTCTACGATTGCAGAAAAGAATATGCTGCGTCTTTTTATAAGTGCAAATTTTTTTGTGAGAAGTGTTCTTCGAGTATAAATTGATTTCCAAGAGGAACTCCTAGCTTCCGGCTATTTTACATGGTCGTTTCCATTTTTCCCACTGACTTTCACGTACGTGTCAGGAGCCTGTCCCATGGTGTGTACATCTATACAGCTAGCTGCAACGGGTATAGAAACTAGCGTAGCTAGCTGCAGCACGCGCTAACCAGCTTCAATTTTTATATTTTTTATAGCTAGTTGCGGCGGGTTACAAAGTTAATGTAGCTAGCTGTAGCGGGCGCCACTAGCTTATTTTTTCACGCTTGGGATTTCAGTTGGATTTTATATCCTAAGCTTTAGTTGTTTTCTTAAAAGATGTGGCGTCAAATTCTCTACAAAAAAGATATGGAACATTTTGTTATATACTGTATAGATAAAAGAATGTAGAAGAAATACTGCGAAGCATCAATCTCGATTACTTTGCAACTCAAAAAAGAATTTTTCCAATTTTAATGCTGGATATTTTGAGAAACAAAAAACAAGATGGCTATTCGGTAGTCTTTAAACAACTCTACTAAGTAACTATATTAAAAACTCTTCGTAAACATAATTGGTTACGGGAGAATATTGTCCTCCGAAATGAATATTTTTCAACCGTAGTTTTGGTGTACTTAAGAAAACATTTATAACTTGGCCAAAAACAAACATTTTGAGGTCAGGTTTGCTTTATCTTAAAGTAAAATAATTTTTCTGTTACATCCGTACAGAAAAAGCCCAATCTTTCTCTTCTTTTCTTATGTTACGACAAAAAAGAAAAAATTTCCGTTTTTTGACAAATTTTGGTACACTCGTAGTTTGCACTAGAACAATACTAAAACTTATGATAAAACCCAACTGACGAGGGAACCTCCCGAGGTTATAAATCGCTTTTTGATCGAAATCCAATGGGTTATAGCTTACTGATCATGCTGATTCCGAATATAGTTATGGAAGCCGCCCATGGTCATTCGAAGATACGGTTTTCGGGAAAACCAGTTTTTCAGAAACTCTAAAAAATAACCAAAACCTTTCTTAATGAGACTTAATTGTAGCCGGCAAATTTCTGGTTAAAATGAGACATCTCCGAACTCTGCACGACCTTTCTTTGCAAAGTTATAGAATTTACGAGAAAAGCCCTAAATTAACTCTTCTTTTTTCTGTCGCTCTGAGCATTCAGGGCTTTTCTTTTAAATTCTATAACTTTGCAAAGAAAGGTCGTGCAGAGCTGGGAGATGTCTCATTTTAGTCAGAAATTTGCGGGCTACAATTGTATCATTTTAAGAAAGGTTTTGGTTATCTTTTAGAGTTTCTGGAAAACCGGATATTCAAACGACTACGGGCAGCCCCCATAATCATATTCGGAATCAGTATGGTCGATAACCTATAACCCACTAGGTTTCGATCAAAAAGCGATTTATAACCTAGAGAGATTTCTTCGTGAGATATAAGCCAGATAGGAAGTGACCGATTTATTCTATCTAGTCCACCCGTTAGTACACATGGTAATCACGGAAAATGTTTTGAAAAATCAGAATATATGGAATATGATACTTAACAGAAAGTTGCACTGTTTGACAAAACACAGTTTTTATGAAAAAGTGAAGAGAAAAAGAGCTTCGCTGCTCCCATGCTTCTAATGTCAGAAAGTCAAAGACAATTGTAAGTCTTAATTTCTGTTGTAAATGGCAGGTAAAGTTTCGCAACTTAAGGAGTGGGCTGAGATTAGATAAATGTATTCTATAATACATCTTTTGTAGTTTACAAGTCCTTTTTGTTCTTGACTTGCGAGGAAAACAGTTTATGCCGTAATAGCCTCCGAAAATAATAAAAAAATTCGTTTTCTCTGTAACCAAGCCGCACGAGCAAAATTCCTTCTACACTTTTTCAGAGAATCAAGAGTCCTACCTATCAGCAAAAAAATATCGACCAAAATGACATCGAGCAGTTGGCGAGGTTTCCTCATAGAAAGAAAAACAATTATTTCATGGAGAAAGTAGAATTGCCAAAAAAATTGTGCAGCATCAATCTGTCTTTTTATTATCAATCGAGAACAAATCATATTTATCATAATCAAAATTTTGCATGATGAGTCGATATGACCATGTAAAATCAGGCCATATCGCTGTATTATTACCCATTCTATCTTGATACCATGATTTACATCCACCTGATTGCCATACCGTTTTCTTCAATTTAGCTTGTAAACGATCATTATATTGTTGACATGCTTGTTGCTTTACTAAAAATTTATCAATATGATTTTGATCCATATATTCGATTGTTTTTAAAATATATGTGAATTGACTTTCAATCATTAACAATATTGAATTATGTCCTAGACCACTGTTAGGACCCAAGATAAAAAATAAATTTGGAAAATTTGGTGTAGTAACACCTTTGTATGCTTGGGGTGAATCTAGCCATTGTTCTTCAACTGTCTTTCCTTCTATACCACGAATATTAATTGGAAAACCTTGTACTTGAAATCCTGTACTCCATATAATTGCATCCAGTTCATATTCGGTACCAGCAGATGTTACTATAGAATGTTCATTCACCTGTTTTATGCCATCAGTGACCAGTTGAACATTGGGCTTTTGTAGAGTTGGATACCAATCATTGCTTAACACTACACGTTTACATCCTAACTCCCATGTTGGTGTCAATTTTTTTCTTAACTCGACATCTTTCACTTGTGTCGAAATAAAAAATTTTGCCAATTGTTGATTAATAGTTTTAACTGGCCATTGATAAGCAAACGACAATACTACTGATTCACGCGTCCAATAAATTACACTTCGTACAGCTTTTTGTATTAATGGTATCTGCTCAAATAGCCACTTTTCAAAATCTGTAACTTTTCGATCCAATCTCGGTATTATCCATGGTGGTGTACGTTGAAATACGTACAACTGTTTAACATGTTTTTGAATTATTGGTACAAGTTGCACAGAACTTGCACCCGTACCAATAACAGCCACACGTTTTTCAGTAAAATCATATGCAGTATTCCATTCGGCTGAATGAAACATATCACCTTTGAACTGATCAATACCACTGATATTTGTAGGAAATTGAGCATTAGCCAGTGGACCATGAGCACTCACTAAAAATCGACTATAAAATGACTGTCCTGTGTTAATCGTTACTTTCCATTGATAACAATCATCTAACCATTCGGCTTCTGTTACTTTTGTATTAAATCGTATTTTTTCACGTAAATTATGTTTATCAGTCAAGTGTTCTAAATACTTCCAAATCTCTGGTTGTCGACTAAAGAAATGATTCCATTTTGGATACGGCTCAAATGAAAATGAATATAAATTTGACGGTACATCAGTAATTTATTAATTTATTATGTCATCTTGTAAAGAATTCATGTTTAACGTTAAAAATAACATTTTCAAATGAAATTTTGGTTGTAAATATGCCCCTCAATAAGAAATTTAATTTTTGAATGTTTTACACATGCGCATCCTGAAAAAAAATCTATGTACCCCTGTTTGTCATTCTGCTTTGAAAATACATACCCGGATATTTATTATCGTACCAGGTTCCACCAACATTTTCTCTTCTCTCATATAGAATGTAATCATTCATATTCAATTGTTTTAATTTAATTGCTAATCCTAATCCACTAAATCCACTACCGATAATAATTACACAATAGGGTTTTTCACGTGTACCATCACCTTCTCCATGATTCCATTTAATTTCCGACTTATGAAATGGATTTTTAAAGAAATTAATTAGTTCAGTAGCGAGAAAGTAAATAAAATGACAAATTAAACCAAGTATAATGGATAATAAATAGATAAAAACAGCACCCAAAAAGAGAAAAAATACTTTCCATAGTGGCACATCATTATTTGAGCTCGAAACGGAAGACGGAGCCATTGTAATGCTGGAAATAAACATAAAAAAGGTAAATGAAGTTATACTGGATAAATAATTTCCGTATGCTTAAATAAGTTGATAGAGAATGAGTTTTTAAACTAAAAAAATCAATAAAATAAACTATTTTAATCTATAGATTGAAACAGTTGAAAAAGAGTATCTCAAGCCGAAAAGTAACTTATTACCATTATTTATCCATTTCCATGAATTTTGAATACAAAGCCAGTGATAGATTTAGACTCGTATTTTGAGAATAAAATTGCAGAAAATGGGTATGGCAGACATTGTTAGGAGATATTCAGTCAAAAAGGAAAAGTATTCCTTATCTAATTGTTCATATTTGCTAATATACTTTGAAATTGTCGCTACTGTTTCTCTCAGATAGAGATTTTCTACTTGCGTCTGAAGCGGGAAAACGCCCTATCCAGAAAATCGATTGAAAAACAGAAACGTTCAACTTCTTCCATTCATATCACGCCTATAACATCAGCAAAAAGATGCGCGATTCTGTCTGAACTTTATGGTGGGTTCTTTCAAGTTGCCTCTCGCTCTCTCTCTCTCTCTCGTTTCAAAACATTTTCAGTCAAAACGGATAATATATTCAGAATTACCTCGTCAAAGTGTGTTGAGTAACGTATTACCCTATTGTTTCCGTGAGAAACATTTCACTTGCAGACCATACCAGCCAGCTTGTCGAAAGTTTGACTGAATTAATGACATTTATTTAATCATATTGTAACTAAGATAAGCGTTAGCCTATGTCCATCAAAGAATGGTCACCGTGCATAGGTAAAAAATCAGATGCAGCATTTAAGTTACAATTCATCGCTCTGACTTCTTTCGCTCGACTTTTGCAACCGCGACTAACTGAAATGTTTATATGAGGTCATAAAAGATCTACATTTTTACTGCTCAATCATTACCATCTATTTTAAATGGAGTGCATAAGACTCGCTTTGGATTACAGTTGAACGAAACGCAATAAGAGCTGCAGATTTCGTTCTTATGCAGTTGACTTTTTGACCAGTCGAGTTACAAAAAAGTCAAATTAACGTCATTATCCAAACGTGATGCAGTTCATCGCTTTTTCTTTGAAAGCTCGCCCTAGAGAATTTCTATCGGGTTTTCGATTCTATAAAGACGACTTCGAGTCTTGAGAGACTGACGAGGGAACCTCTTGAGGTTATAAATCGCCTTTGAACTCGGACTACTTGTATCTTGTAGACCTCAGTGAGTAGTGAAATACCCTAAGTTGGTTCATCCCCATGGTGCTTTGTTGCTGAGATATT